ATATATATATATATATCCATGTCAGAATAATATATAGTAGAAAGAATCACACCTTGGCTGCAATACTCTGCGGGTCCTTGGATGCAGATGACTTGAATTTTGGCTTCAAATCTGAATCAAAACACTGCTTCTTGGCTGCTGCTTGCATCTCACCACCCTGCGCAGCAAGATTGCCATAATCAAATTAAACCCTCAAGCGTAGTCTGATATTAATTGTTGGATTGCGAAATAAAACATTGCAGTTTTGCACTGGAAGATGAACGAAATATGTGCAAAATTAAAGCGAGTCGATACTATATAGGAAGGAAATGACNATATATATATATATATATATATATATATATATATATATATATATATGAAATCAAATATGAGGGTTAATGCTATATATATACATTGGTTAGATTTGAATTATCTATAAGTTAATCGTGGCCTCCTTATTCAAGCAAAGAAGTTTCTAACTTACTAAGAAAGAAAGGGAGAGCTAGCCTCCTTATTCAGCTAAAGATAGTATTAATCAATTTGTGAAATGTAACTATACCGTGTAAGGCCGCTTGAGCAAGCAGGCTTCGTCTGGTCCACTGCAGGATTCCTGAATACTTCCAGTGGTGGCAACTGGTGCTGGAAATAACCACCCGAACGGCCGCTCCCGGTGCTGGTTGTCACTGCTCATCAGGTCATAGCCACTCGCAGTTTCAAAACAATTCAGGTCCTCAGACAGACGGGTTTCATTAGTAACCTTGAGGCAAGTAGGTTGATTCCACTGTATGTTATGGGCCACGTCATCCACCCAGATTGAGTAGTCATCTTCATGATCAACCATCCGATTACTGTTGCCAGAAACCACAAGTTCTCCCTGTTCAAAACTAAGCAGAGATTCCTCATGACACTCCAAATTGTCATAACTGGTTCTGAAGTTGATAACAGATTGAGCATCCTCGGGTGGAGAATTCGCAGTTCCAAACACAAACCCAGTGCAGTTTGCATTAGTAGCTGCTGGGTCTAAAAGAGAAGGAAGATGGCTCAATGAGGAAGCATTCTTCGTAGACCCACTTGAATTATCTGAGCCCTCTCCCTCTTCAAGCACTGTGTTGTCACAATAATTATTGTATCCAAAGAAGCCAAGTTGAGAAGGATCTGAAACTTGGACAGAAGATCCCCCACAAAGGTTTCCATACAAGGAACACGCTTGAAGGAAGGCAATATGTGAGTCTTGGCCCTCCCTCTCCCCGGCAAACGCCATTTAGAAGCTAAGAGGGAACAAAGTAGTAGAGTTGGAGGTGGAGCTAGCTACCTAGCTGAAACTTGAAAAGCTTATCGACAAGGAACTATATATATGCAAGCGATAAAGGTGAGAATGACAGTTTCGAAAGAGGACCCTCTGTAGCTGTACTGCTGTAAGGATAGACAACTTTATCTTCTTCTTATATATATAAATGGTGATGAGCCGAATTGTAATTTTTTTTTTAATTTTATTTTAATTACTTACTAAAGTTCAGCATTTAAAGTGTCGGGCGAGAAATTATGTAACCAAGTAGAGATGTAATGAGTTTCGAATATATTTATTTTATTCTAATTATTTGGAGATTGTTAGCTGGCATAGAGGAAGCCAGGATTTTGAAGAAGAGAAGGTTGCTAGAGAACAAGCAGCATAAGCTTCGCCGGATCTTTCGCTCCCCCCACGTCTCAGATTCCTCTCTCTCTCTCTCTCTCTCTCCCTCTCTCTCTCTCTCTCTCTCTCTATCTCAGAACCTGCATCTCTTCACTTTTCAGGAGTTAAGTCTCGACTTCCTTCTTCCTTACTTCCAGCATGCGGATCCACATTGCATTTCCAAACAGCAGACAAACCATCAGTTTTGTTTCGGTTCTGAAATATCAACTGAATAGGTCAAAGGTTCAAACCCTTTGCTTCCAGGGGCTGGATTGGAAATTGAAATTGATCCACCCGGTTTCTATTTAAACCGAATCCTTGAAATAATTAGGTGGGTTCCACTTGTCTAAACCGGGGTACGAGTACCACTTACCAATGGTGGGGTCGGTTTAACCCTGCTGGAGAGATTCAGCACTGGATTCTCCGTTCTCGATTATGTTACCAAGACTGAGTCGGGTCAGCAAAATGTGGATTAATCAAACACCCTATAGGCTAAACTGTGGTATAATTTATTAAGTCCATCTTTTCCCAGAGCCGATGAATGAAGATCCTCATCCACATGTTTTGTTTTCAAATTCAAGTAGTAAAGCTAAGCTGAGAATATTGGAAGGAGAGTAATTCCTTGCTGAAACCAATTAAACTCCTACTCAAACCCATGATTATTTTAATCGTGGTACGAATACCATCAAAACTAAACAAATATTAACACATAATTAATCAACTGGTAGCTTCCTAATTTCAACCCAACAACCAGTTCATTACGTACACCGATTGACTGGTATTAATCCCAAGTTTATAAAATAAATATTGTTATCCAACCAAACGGTGGGCTGTACTAAGCTTTGCTATATTGCTCTAAACACTTCACCAAATATCAGTTCTCTAAGACGAGACTAGGATAAAATAAAGAGTTCATAGTACTGAAAAGTGAAAATGTAAGAGAGATATTAGAGAGAGTAATTATAAACGTATCCATATATCGGAATAAAGAGAGGCCCATTTGAGAATAATAAAAATCCTAAATTCATGTTGTATTGAATGAGTTTTCTTATCCCCCTAGCCCACCCAAAAATAAAATGTAAAGGTAAAATTAGGATTTTGGTATTACTACCTCTCACAGTCCAGCATAGAACATAAACTCAGAAGCATTGACAAGGACCACTGCTCTTGCGAAAAAGGAGAGAGAGAGAGAGGGAGAGAGAGAGAAGCACCCCCTATAGTCTCTAACAAATGAGATTTGGTGATAAAGTTCTTCAAATTATTTATTGATTCGTAGAAGAAAGAAACAAAATTTCCACCTGGCAATCTTGAGCGTACAACATTACGTTTGAACTGTGCTTAGAAGTAGAACCAATACTTGTACAAAGGGGATAAATGCCCAAACGGGTAGGGTGTGAGGGGATTAATTGGGTTAATATCAAATCCTTCTTTATTGGTTGCCCACTTTATCATTTTGACACTATAAGGACATATTCATTTAATTGAAAAATTGCAATTGAAACACTTTTCTAATTTTACCAACTTTTATATGATAATTAAGTCCATTCTAGATGATGAATTTGGGTTGATATACTATTGTTACATTTTTCAAAGAAATGATTTCAATATATACATATGTGGTGTCATTAACATACCTCCCATATTTTATGACATTTTTACCAAAACTCGTTCTCTTTATTCGAAAATTGTCATACATTACAATAATACAATAATAGACTTGGGGTGAAAGTTGGGTGGGCTGGGCTGGGCTGGATTTAAGGTCAACCTAGGCCCAGCTCACACTGAAATTTGAAATTTGAAAGTTGTGTGTGTCAGTGTGTGTTTATAGTTGGATTGGGCTTAGCTATCTTAAGTCTAGGCCCATCCCTAAGTTTTGAACCTAAGGCCAGCCTAAAGACCGAGAATCTAAACCCAATCCATGTAAAATTGCAAAGGTCAGTTACATTAAATCTTGGATTAGGTCCATCCAAGTTGACTCTTAATCTCCCGTGTGAGTTTGAATAGATTGATAGTTTTCCCTTGACCCTTAACGTTGCTAATCACTGGATAACCTAAAATAACTATTTCCCTGTGTTGGTTAATTATCTATAGTTAAGGAGAGATTGAAGAGGTTTAGCTAGAAAGGTAGAATATATAAGAAGTGAGTGCTCCATTGCGACCTTATGTGTAGCTTGAACAGGTATAAGAGGTATAACTATAAGTTCAGTGAGATATTGATAAACTGAAAAAAAAAAAAAAAACTAGTGGAACATTTTCCATATATATAAACAGAGATTGAGTAGAATGAACGAACGTGATTAATGCATGAGAGTGCAAAATGGACCAAGTGTAAATTCTGGTCAACTTTTGCTTAAGGTTTGACTTTGTTTTGTTTGTTTATTAAGAATAATTAAAATGGGAAGTAAAATGATGTGGTCTTCCCTTTATATGGAACAAAATGTAGGTAGGAGTAAGGGATGAATAAAATAGGAAAAAAGGTTTCTAGTCCCCACTTTATATGATAGAGAAGTAAAGCAGGAGGAAGGTGCATAGTGCAAATTTTGCATTAATTTTTGGATACAAAAATTGCATTACCAGTGAATGCAAGATAAAAGGTTCAAGTTTTACATCAGGTAAAGTGCAAATCATGATCACAAAACAGTCAGGCAGAAATCTAAACTGGGTATAAAATTTGCATCTTATTAATTTTTGAACCGCAAATTAAATAAACAGAGACTAAATAATTAGGCTAAGGCCTTATTGGGCCTTTCGTTCTAAGTTGACCTTAGCTGAGTTAAACATAAAAGTGGTCTTCGATAACAAAATCAATCATGTTGTCAAACACCCCCAAATTAACTTATATTAACAGAAATGCATCGATTTTCCAAACATTGAAAAATTTTGATTGAGAAGGGAGTTGTCGAACATAAATTATTAGTCTTTAAATTTTAAAACCATAAACATTTTCATTTATGATTACTTTACATTAATTAGACAATATTAAAAGAGAGGGTAAAAGAAATTAGGGATAAGTGAACTGCAATATTCACCTCAGAAATCTGAATTGCAGCCCCTCCTAGTGCCCCCAATAAACTGTATCCTGCCCATAGATTTCGCATCAATCCACAGGCAGGATTCAATCCACCCTAGAAATCCTAGTTCCACCCTAGGGGTGGACTGAATTATAAAACCCCCCCCAAAAAAATGAAATTGCTCACACCAAGAAGATCTAAGGCTATGTACATTATCAAAACCATATCATTATCAAAATGTAGAATCAAAATATAGTAGTAACCATTTGCCAAGCCAGACCACAAAGGATCAAATTTTCAATATTAAAATATTCATTATTGTATTGATGCATGAATAATGTTTCAGAACAAAGTGAAATGAGGTTTTGCCACAGTACCAAATGTCACTTAAAAACTAGTGTTGGTCCCGAAAATAATACCCTGTTGCTAGTAATCGGCTACTATCTCAATAGAACTTGGAATAGCAGTAAGAGTAAACTAGAAATAATAGAAAATATCAAAGCAACCAAACAAAGGCAAATAAAACAAGTACCACCAAGAACACAAAGGATTTATATGATTCTGCCTTATCGCCTACGTCCATGAGAGAAACGAAAACTATTCTTCACTATGAAAGAAACGAGAAATAATATAGGTATCTTATACCTTGCAACCCAAACAACCCTTGACCCTTATACACCTGTTTTTCCTTTCCTCTCTCAACCCGAAAAACATAAACAAGAGAAAAACACCACCCTTACATCAAGAGCACTCTCTTTCTCTCTTTTACTCACTTACCCACTCTCTCTCTCTCTCTCAGCCCTACATACAAAGAACCTTTTATATGTAAAATCCTCTTTAACCCAAAGACTGACCAAACCAACTGTTAGATTAAAAATAATTAAATGATTGAAAAATAAGACACAACCCCAACAACTAGAAACCAAAATTTATAATTAGAAATCATTTAATAGAAAGCCTACCATTAAGGACCAAAATTGCTCTTACTAAGAAACCATGAAACATAAATTTATAAAACCCTTAAAAGAAATAGTATTAGTTTTCATAAACAGAAAAACTACCAAATTATCACAAACGAGACTCCAATATCACACAGACCTAAAGCCATGGAGGATGAGTAAAGAAAAAGCAAAAAAGGAACAAGAAAAAAAATGCACACAGATTTTTTAACACGAAAAAACCCTTCAAGTAATGTAAGGGAAAAAATCACGAGACACTAATCTAGAAAACTTTCACTATATTTCAATAATGGAATTACAACTTCTACGGCTTCATCCAGAGGATAAACACAATCAAGAAAATTAACTCTCCTTCTCTTTGTATAAGAGGATATCCTGGTCTTACACAACCATTCACAACTGTTTCTAATTAAAACGTATATTTATAGATATACTAGAACCATTGTATTTATAGTATTAGTTTTCATAGACAGCAAAGCTACCCAAGGATGTCATTTGCCTTTGTTAGGATCACAGGTGATCATTTCTAGTCCCTGAATTTTAAAACGTGTCTCTACGGTATTTAAATTTTCAAAATATGTCAAATAGGTCCCTGCTGTTAACAATCCATCGGTTATCTACGTAATGATATGCACCATTTAAAATTTCTTAAAATATTCAAACTACCCTTCAAA